GGCCCAATAAGTCACTCGCCCTTTCACCGTGACCGGTGAATGGAGCCTTTGTCATTTTACCAAGTAAACAAGATTTACATACATCATATGACTGGAAGTCAAATGAATCAAGTACACCGGAACGATGTAACTTAGATATGCGTTTCTCGTTAATGTGGCCCAAACGACAATGCCAAAGGTACGCGAGATTCAAACTGTTAGGTTTGTTTCTCTTAACATCTACGTTATATACTGCGGTATCCATGTCGAGGACATAGAGACCGTTGGTCATTTTTGCAGTTGCATAAAATATTTCATTTCTAAAGACAGAAAGAGTTTTGTCTTTTACAACGAACGAAAATCCTGCTTTGTCAAGGCAAGATACAGAAATGATGTTTCTGCTCATACTAGGTACAAACAGACAATTATTTAATTGCAATACAAGACCACTAGGTAGAGATAAACTATAGGTTCCGATGGCTAATGCATTTACGAGTGCGCCATTGCCGACTTTTAGTTGTATCTCTCCCTCCGTCAATTGTCTACATTCATGCAAGTTCTGCATAGAAGTAGAGGTGTGAGAACCACATCCAGTATCCATAACCCAAGAGGTGATATCAGACATATTGACTTCGATAACGTAAATTCCTAAGTTTTGGGGCTGACCCTGGTAAAGGTCTCTTAAGCATTGTATCATAGGACGCACTTCCATGTCCGCGTGGAGCCTTTGGAGCTCTGCGGTCATACTGGCCATAATGATACACTTTACATCTCGCGCGTCGTCCTCATACTTCTTGAAGGAAGTGAGTTCGGACGCACGAGCATTGGCATTAGGGGTCTTGGGAGGATCCGTTTCGAGGATGTATAGTTTCCTCTCATAGTTAAGAACGATTCGGAGGTTCATCTCCCTGTCAAGAAAGTTGGTCCCAGATAACTTGTTGTTTTCCAGGATGTAACGCAGGTTGAAAGGGTTGTTGTTGTTTGCCATCTACAGAAAATTTTGCAAACTAGGTTATCTATCATGTTTAATAATTAATTAGGCCTTTAATTAATTATCTCCCACTATTTTTAACAAATCAATAACCCTCGATATTGATTTGGAGATTTCCAGCGAAACCTCTAGTGGGCCAAGATCCATATTTCATTATCTTGCGTTCCGCTTGGGCGTTACTCCACAAGACAACTATTTAGGTAGGAACATAGTTCCAATTGATGAGCCGGGCTCTCAGCTCTTGGTCTGGTGTTGGGCGAACAATATTACTACAATCGGACCAGGACACCTTTTCACCGTACTTGTAATTGGCTGAGGCACGTCTTACAAGCAGACTACTTTGGTTAGGAACAGAGTTCCAATTAAATCATAAAGATCCAACTCCTGGTTGGATGAGTGAGTAAAATCATCCGACTTGTCATTGATGACCCCAACTTACTGCCTCTGAGTCGTCCATCAATTTGACCGAGACTCAGTTAAGTCTAACCCAACGTGCGACAGCGACCACGCTATGGCGGTTCCCGTAACCAGCTTAACATACACCGTACTATGCTCTGCTGAGGCTGAGTACATGACAGTGCACATTAGCCGGATAGGTGTCGGGCGTCAGAAGGCAAAGAACTTAATATTCGTGAGGGATTTATAATTTCGATCTCACCTATCGACATGGCCGCGCACATGTCCATTACTAGCGTTCAACATACATTCAACATGCATTCACAAAACGCAGTAAATAAACGTGTAATGATTGTGGCCCGTAAAAGAAAAATAAAACGATAGCTCCCACTAGCTTCCGGGCACTTGGACTTCGGGCTATCTACATTCTTTTAGATTTCTTCAAACGGTCTTCAAATCTTTTCGTCTTCTAACCACCACGAGAGAAATAGATTTACAACAAGAGTTTATGAGATAAGGCACGACACGCAGGCCGTATTATAATCAAATAAACTATAGCCACAATCATCCACCATGCATATCATACATCCACACAAGCAATAGAGATATACATACACCGGGTGAACCGCGCTCACCCCAGACAGTTCTAGAAAAATACTACGGCACTAAATATTTTCTAAAACTCATAAACTTAAATTAGATGTCCAAATAAATCTAATAAAATTTTATAAAAACCATTTTATGCATTCTGGATATTCTGCGAGCATAAAAAAAATCCAGAATATTCCAATTGACCAAAATGCCCCTTTTGCAAAATTATTTTCAATAAGGCAATAAAATTTCAAAACAATTTTGCAAAAATCATGAAAATTAAATTTCAACTTCCAATAATTATTTTCAACAATTATAAACCTGGAAATAAAATTTCCAAAATTTATAAATCATTATTTCCAAAATATATTAGTTAAATCTCAATAAGTTATAAAAGGCCATTTAAATTATTTTCAAAAACATTAAATTATAAAAATTTAATATTTTGGAAAACATTCTTTTTCTTACTGAGATATAACTTTACAAAATATATATTAGTCATTTATGTAATTAAAATACAAATATATAAATATATATAATATTTCGGTAATAAAACCGAGTACATATATAAATATATATTTATTTAATTACTAACTAATATTATTTTGTACAATATATTTTTCAACAACCTTATTCAACTTAGAAATAATATTTATAAGTTTAGTAAAGTTATTTATGAATTTTCCCATATTTATTTTCGGTTTTCACCTAAATAAATACAATAAATTCAAAATAGGAAATAATACATTCAAAAATTACAATATAATTTTATCAATCATAAAATGATGTTTTATGTCCAAATAAAATTATATTTACTATTTGTACAATATATATAAGTATATATTTCGAAAAATCAAAATATATGTATTTATATATGTATATATATATATATATATATATATTACGGGTAGAAATAAAATAAATAAATTCAAAATTCATTTTCAATGATTTATTTGAGTCCAATACTTATTACAAGACTAAATAAAATCATTTTACCAATTTTGAATTTTAATAATTACCAAGTTAAAACTTTGACTTTTAAAATTTTAAAAGTCAAACGTAAAACTATAGTTTTGTACGTTGGCTCCGATACCACTGAAAGGTAACCATGCAAGGATAGGCAGCGGAATATAAAAATTTTAACATCCTAACATGATTATCTTGCCCAGAATCACGTACTAAAACATATAGTAGTAAGAAATTTATACCTTTCTCCGTAAGCGGTTAAAACGAAGAAGTCGTAGGAAGAGCGTTGAAAGTGCAAACGTAACCGTTCAAGCGTCCGGTCTCCAACTTTGACACACGAACAACGCCAGACTCTACCACAATCTTTATGCTAGTAAAGATTATAGTAGTATAAAATATAAAGATTAAAATTTGGGATAATAATAATCTTGTATATTTCTATAGAAAATATTTCTAATAATATTTAGAAAATATTATAAATATTTTCTATACACAAAATGATATTAATGGAACCAAACTAATATTTCTTCTCTCTAGAAAAATATGGCCGAATGACACACTCATGAAAATGATAATCTTCACCCCTTTTTTTATTTCAAAGTGCCGTGTAACCTTTTAAAAAGAAAACAAAAGATTCAAAGTGATTAATCAAACTATTTTGTCATTAGCTAAATGACAAAATTAACTAGCCACTTAATTAGCAATCAAGGAATGTTTGATTTTCCAAATCCTTATGATGGTCGAAAATTTTCTTTGTGATTGTGAGAAGGATTTTAAAAATTCTTCTCCACTAAAATGTTCAAAGTGTATTTTATTTGACACCAAAAATTAATATAAAATTAATTTTAAATCAAATAAAATACCAACATCATTTTTAAACAAGTATAAAAATATACTTTAAATAGTTTATGTCAAATTAATTATTTTCATAATTAAAATGACAAACCAAAATAAAATATTCAAAATATTTTATTTTACTACTTTACAAATATACAAATTACTTATTATCCCATTGTTTAATCCTACTCCTTAAATTGTCCAAAGTGTGTGACCCGTATAGGCACTTATAAAACTGGCCACAGTATTGGCTATGCACCAATACTATAAGCAATAAGCGGTATCTAGCAACACATTATTGCCCCCAGATTATAAGTTAAGACGTTTGCACTGTCAAAACCTTTCCACGACTCAGACTCTGTGTAACTGTATCCCTTTATCTCAATGTCTAAACTCAATGCAAGGGATTAATAAAATCCAACTTGTATCCATTAAGTCATTCACTGATTTATCAAGTCCGACTAATAGGAACAGACGTGTTAAAAGCATCTCAGCATGGCCATGCAATTTTCCTTAGTCATAACTTATCAATGCAAGGGATTAATAAAATCCTATGTACGTAATCTACGTTTCTGAATACGCGCTGCGGCATACCCAAAACAAAGCGTGTATACCATCCTTATTTCATATGGCTTAGGACAATGCATCAAAGTATGCGGGTTCACATATGCAGAAAACGTAATACTTCAAGTCGAAGGATAGTTACACCCGTGGTCGCGCTAAAGATGCTTAGAGCATGAACTAAAAATTCAAGCAACATCTTTAGAATGGGTTAGTCCGGCATCCTATTATCTCTAGATAATATCTGCCCATGTGCGGATGCGAACACACCGTCATTGACCATGAGACTAAGTCAAACATCCAACAAACACTAATCTCACATGCATTAACGATATCCCACTCTCGTTAATACTCGACTATGGACATTTAGATAAATATTTACTTCAAGATGTTAGTCTCATCATCAGAATAACACTATCTAATAAACATATTTAAATATAAATCTAAGAATATAATATTTGTTTACATTAGCATGAGATGTGTAAACATATTATATCTGCCTATACATAATAGAATAATGATAAACAGTTGGCCATCAGGGCACAACTCCAACA